AGAAAATTAGGCATATTTCAAATATTTTATATTTTACTCATAAAATTTTGTTAAATATTTATTTAAATACACTATATTTTCATTTTATTTAACTATATTTTTTGTATATATTTTCATTATTTGTTCTTATTATTTGTAGTTCTTAAATCAGCGCTATAACACATATTGTATATTGGCGAAAATAACATATCAGACCAATAGCAAATTTAGAATATTTATATATATATTTATAATATATGTGCGTGATGATTTCTGACTAGCGGGGGTTCCGATTGTTTGTAAATTTTGTTTATATATGAATCATTTTTTTGTAAACAAACTAATGCATTATTATTAAGTTTATAATACTGCTAATAATATAATTAAAATTTTAGTTATAGAAAATGAGCCAAGGTACTCTGAATACACATTCTATTTTGTTTCTATTAAAAAAGAAAGCAATCTAATAAAATGAAAAATATGGACACTTGTTGATATTCTATCAAATGAATATTGAAAATATAAACTTAAGATACGATATGTTACTAGAAAACAATGTTACTATAAATAACTTAAAAGACTTCCCTAGTACTAAATATGATTTAATAAGTTTGTTTTCAGAACTCACCAATGTTTTTAAATATTACTATTCTTTAACAATATGTTCTTATAGCCTATATACAAAGTATGAATCAACTTCTGATCCGGATTGAACTGAATCAAAACTGAACAGTTTATTGTTTCTTTATAGATTTATAATCAGCTTCTAAAGAGAGATATTTATTTGATTTTACAATTTCTAGTGTCCTTTATTCTTCAATACGAGTTTGTTTTTTTGAACTCTGGTTTTTTTTTTTCTTATATCCCTTATTTAAGGCTATTCTGTTCCTATTATAAGAATATAGTATTTTCATTTAATTATTTTTACTCGATATTTGGTTGATATGTCAGGGCTATCTAAAATTTCAGATGTCTTCAATTTCTACTAATGATTGTTGATTAAATCACCAAAAATGTTGTGTAAATGTCAATTTTATTAAGATCCCTGGGTCTCAAGGGTGAACTATTGCCATTTGAATAGAATATAAAAATAAACTTCAAATTAAAATTTTTATATACAAGTGATTTAATTATTAATAGTTATTTAATAGTAGATTATTGTTAATTAATATAACTGTTTGGTTGAGAATCTCAGAATGGTTACAGGCTCCTCGGGGAGGTATGCAGATCTGAGGTTAGTTATGGCTTAGTCTGATAAAGTGATAAACAATAATCCAGTCAAGACGTAGAGAGGGGTTATGAACAAACCTCGCAATTAATCGAGAGTAAAAGTGTTCAAGTGCACTGAGTTATAAATAATAATATTAATTTGTTTTTATTTTTTATGTAAATGTTTATGTTTTATATACAATGTTAAGTAATTAATTCATAATGATAAACAAACGAACATATTATGAACGTATGAATAAATTATGATTTCCTTTAGTTATGAAATCCATGAAATTCGATTTATTATATCCATAATTTTTATATACCAGTCTTGAGAGTTTCGAAAGTTGTAAAATGAGTAGAAAACCGTTAAATAATAAATTATACTGGATCCCAAACTATGAGTACTAACATTTTGGAATGTTTTCAAATAAAAGTTTGATCAATAATTTGACTTGACAGTATCAAATGTATATAAAGAGAAAGCCATAGTACGTTAATCTTGAAAATGCCATTTTGAAATATTTTTGGGAAATCTACATTTTAATGAAAATTACAATTTCAAAATAGTATTAATGTTAATTCTACTGAATAAATCAAATAAAAATAAAGCACCGGAAATGTGAAGTCATATGAAGTTATTAAGAAAACCTTGCATACATTAGTGCACAAATTACAAAATAAAAAAAGAATGTATAAATTTGCTTATAATATATGCTTTCCTTTCGTAATATACATGCCAGTGAGTAGATTAAAACAAATACAATATTTCTGTACAGATATGAAAAATTATGAAATAGTGGGTCGGGTATAATATTACAATAAAATTATGTGCGAACGACATGGCATAGGCTAAAATAAATAAAATTCTGTGTTAGGAAAGCTACTCACCCGAAACTGGGTTACAAATGACAAACTTTGAATGTGCAATAAAGTATTTACAATTTACAACAGAAATGCAAAAAAGGTGACTTACAGTACCTGCAATTAGCAGAAGCCCGGTTACTTACAAAACGTGCCCAAACAGTTGGTCGCTTTCTGTAAGGGCAAGTAGGTTTTTTCAATGTAGCGCTGTGTTTTAAGTTTAGTCGAGACGCTTCATTAAGAACTGGGTGCGTTCAAAATTAGTACGTGTCTTTTACACATATCCGTCTCCATTACAAATAAACATTAGTGGAGTCTACTGTTACAATCACTATAATTATGAAATTTATTTGTTTATAATTATTGCCATAGTGAGTGTGCACTGATCACTGATAGGAAAGGAAAATAACTAGTACATGTTTAATAGTTGATTATATGTATAGAAATGGATGCTTCAGTAAATATAAAATGCATCCTTAAACATAAATATATAATTTTAAATATCACATCTCATCTCCGAAAAAAATACTATTTCTATTTTTTGTTTTAAACTTAATTAAAATGACAGACAAAAATTTATTTGACTGTCTCTCTCGTTGACTACTTGAACATAATTTCCGGCGCTTTTTACAATTTAAAATATGAAATTTCTGCGCTCATTTGTTTGTGTGGTTATGTGGCATGTTCCCTGGAGTACAACGACCGCACCTTTGGTATGAAAGCATATTTGCATACATATTCAAATCCACGTTTACATTAGTCTCACTGGAAATTGAATGCATGAAGCAACCAATCCAACCCAACCAATCAGTAAACTAACTAACTTGACAACCAACTCATTTCTTTCAGCACGAGAACTGAAATTGAAATTACGGATATATTACTCGTATATACTGGGAATGCGAAGTGCAATGCAAACTAATCCAATTTGCCCGGTTATTCATATAATTTTAAATAGGTCGTTGTCGTTGTTGTTGTCGTTGCTGTTGTTGTTGATGTTGATATCTTGTACTTTTACTGCCTTCACAAAAGTAATTATGTGGAGATTTCTTAAGTAACTGTAATTTGAAAACGAACTTAAACATAAGCATAATTTATTATATTTTGCATATTTAATGGTGATTATAAATTTGCACATTCAAAAATTTTATTTCTATGCTAATAATAAATAATTTTTTAAATTTAAAATAACTACTTTTACTTTTTCCTACTTAAGTAGATAGATACATGCTAGTGAGAGCCCTCCTCATTAAAGTTGGACAATCAAGTTTTTAAAAATGGGCTCAAATATAAAACGACTAAAAAGTTTTAAAGCACGGTAGTTGACTTTAAGGTAGTCATGAGCTAAAAAATCATTACTTATTTTAATATGAATATTATGTATAGTTATTTAAGAAATTGGGCAACTATAATTGATAGATGCCTTTTGATGAAGACTCTTACAGCAACAGAGTAGGTAAGCAATGATTTCTCTTTCCACTGACATCTGCCTCAGTCAATGTTAAAAAGAGCTCTGTGCAGTGGCATGTCTACTTAATAAAGAGTGTCCTCTTAGTACAGCAAACTATATTAAATAACAGAAAGACTTGACATCCACATACGAGTGCCAATTTATGTATGTAGCATTTTAAAGCATTCTGTTCACTAATACTAATTATAAGTTCAAAGTAATCTAAAGCGAATTCCACACAAATAATGGATATTACAAGAAGTCACTTCTGGATTATTCATTCATTCTACCTGGAATCTTAAATGATTATTATGGTTATATTAATATTATATGTTAATTTAATATTAAATGAATAAATTTAATTCAAATATAAACAAAATTTTTCGATTATATGATGTATTCGATCGATTCATTCTGCTCGAACTCAGTCATGATCGAATACTTTGAAATACTACATATTATTAATATCCTAGCCTAATTCAATATAAACAATAACAAATATGTCGATTTTGTATCTGCCTAATCTCTGCTTGAAATTATCTGCTAAAAAAGTTGATCTTATTACTTATACACTTGTTCAATACATAATCGTAACCCAGTGCAAAACCCGAAACACTCACTACAGGTTAAATTACTTGAACCGGCTACTCAAATCACTATTAAAACAGAAAAAGTCATTAAAAGTAACATTTTTAGTGTCATTTGCCTTTTGAGTGCAACGTTTTGCAAATTATTCCACACACTTGTGCGTATTCAGTGTGGGCACAACACCCGAGGTGTTTTGCATAAAGTGGATTCCTAAATGAGGAATGTGTTGTAAATCGCTGTTGGTACCACCCCATGTAAAAGCCCACAAAGTCAACAGAAGTGCACATAAGCATATTTGTACAAAAACATTTAGCCTCTCTGTAGCCTTTAGGTCGCGTGTCTAAAAGTTACTCCTTTACATTTGGCGGAAGTGAAAAATCGCTTGTCTGGACATATTTTATTTTAAGTTTTTTCTTTGTTCAAGTCTTCAAGCAAAGGGTGATTGCTCTATGAAATATCGTGACTTTTAATTTGGTATCGTGTCATTGCTGATTCCACCCCCTCTGCCCAACACCAATAAAAATGAAAGTGAACTCAACAGTATTAAATGTCCTCTGGTATACATAGTATATCTATAATAAAAAAAATAGTAATAAAAATGTTCCAATATTTAAAAGTCCATAAGAATTTCAAAAATAAGAGTTATGCAGATAGTCAATGTTTGGGGTTACCTTGGAAACTATGTTCAAAAGGATATCAAAACTCATATTTCTAATATAAACAAACATTCTTAACAATTCAGTTTTTATCCTTCTTAATAGTGAAGGATTTATTTTATTGTGAATATAATAACACATTTTCCTTTTAAAGTACTTGAAAATATATATTTTATATTTAAATGACTCAGCTTTGCAAGTTTTTAATCATAATTTTGTCAGGAATGTGATTTAAAATGCTTTTCAGCTTTTCTTTACTGGGAAATTAGTTCCATTGATACCGAGCGGCTAGAGTCGCATAGGCTTCTATGAAGAGAAGGATAACTCAAATCAGAGTTATCTTTATAAGGGATTGCGGCAAAAAGCAATCCCTCATAATATTTATAACTTGGTTCTTCCGTATATTCTAAATTGCGACAATGTTGTAAAAAAACTGAAACTTCTGCTGGTAATCCTTCACATAACTGATGAATTGCTAAGGACGTTTTCATTTCTGTTATGGCTTCATCGCGTTGCCGTTTGTGTTGCGAGTGGACATTTTGCCATGGTAGACTTCCCTTGCACAAATATATGATGGTATAAACAATAGCTTCCATATCATCACGTCTGGATTGTTTACCTTCCGCAAAAGCTTTTATAGATGAAAAAACAATAGTTCCACAAAAGCGCTTATTACCATTAAACTCAACATGTTGATTGGTTTCAGGATCGCGATATAATTTAGATAAACCAAAATCCGCTAAATACAAAAACTTACCATTGTTATTCGGTAAGGTTAAGAAATTACTTGGCTTAATATCGCAATGTACATAACCTTTTGAGTGTAAAACTTGAAGCCGATTTATCATCTGAATAGCAAACGAAAGTGTTGCATCAATTGTTAGTCTCTTTTTACAAAATCGGTACATCTCTTCAAGTGAAGGTCCTAAAACCTCCATTATCAATACCTTGCCCCTCTTACTATCTTCACAGTAATGAAATATTTTAGGGAAACCTTCAATACCTGATACAGTCTGGTATACATTGTATTCATTTTCCAAATATGTTCTGGCTTTGGGATTCTGTTTCTCAATTTTTATTGCTACGGTTTCCTGGCTTTGAATATTTTTTCCCAAATAAATACTTCCACATGAACCTTCATTAATTTTTTTAATAATTTTATATTTATCGTTTGCAATTGTTATTAGATTGCAACGACTTCGAAAACGCTGCTTTTTCAACATTTTTAAAAAATTGAGTTAGAAATAAAAACTTCAGTTTATAGATTTTAACAAATTAATTAATCTAAAATATTTAAATATAAACTTCTGCTCTTTTAAAATTGTTCGCCTGCTTATTTTTTTTTTCCTTTGACAATCAACTTAAGTCAAAACAAAAGCTGGCACATTGCAATTTCTCTATTAATTGTAGCATATAACATATCTATCAAACATATAGCTATACAATAGGTCTGTTTCACGAGCTATATACTCGTAGTGGTGTTGTCTCCAGACTTTACACAAAGCTGGGCCCTGAAATTCTGTGTAAAGAGCGTAATTTAGCACTTTATTTGTCTTACGCTCTCAGTTTGTACTGTACTTGTGTATTACTTGGGTTTTACTATGAGTAGCTCATGGAACAGACCTAATATATAATTACAAATTTGACAAAATTCAGTTTCGGACACTTGCAGGAATTATGGTAGTGGATATTTGACAGACACTTAAAAAACTATATCGACAGCATAAGAATTCAATTGATTAGAAACTAAATTTTTGGATTAGAAAATTTTCTCCATATTACCCATATTTCTAATCTAAAAATTTAGTTTCTAATCAATTAAATTCTCTCCATGAATTTTCTCCATATTACCCATATTTCTCGCGCTACTCATGTAACTACATCTGCACGGCTGCTCCAAATAGAATACGGTTCAGAGGAATTGTTGAGGCCCTATGTTCCATGCAAGTTAACGGAATAAGGAGGAAGAAAACCCATATTTCTATTCGATGTAGAATTTATGTCGTGGGACATTATACAATATATTACTATATTACTCTTATTGAACTATATGAGTTAAAAGTAGTACTTTAAAATGTTCGAACTAGAATTCGAACACCTTATATATTCAAACATTTTAGAACTTTGCAATGATAGGTCCAATAAGTCTACAGTTCATCTAGTGAATGTTTCATTCGCGATGCTTGTATCAAATTGAATAATACTTGAAGTTCTAGTTAATCCAGTAAATATGTCTGAATGTTTTTTATAGGCCATTAATAATCACTTACTAGCTGTGTTCGTTTCGTAAGCGAATTTTATTTTGATTAGGTGTATTATTTATTTTTTGGCGTACTTGGCGTCTACACTGGCTAGAATTCAGCAAGATTTTTTTGTTCAAATGTAAATACGTAATATTTTCTGGTTTTATCTGTCAACAAAAATTTTTGTGTTAGTAAAAAAATATTACTGTTTGCAAAAATCTTGCCCGTGTAAGGCAGTGTTAGCTATTTAACTAAGATATTATTGTCATATATGCTCGTTTCTTGTTTGTTGAACATAGCTGAACATATTCGTTTCCATTTTAAAAAAAATTATCAAATACGTTTGCCATTTGAACTTGATTCGAAACAGCTGTTGTCATAAAATATTGCATCTAATTCAGCATCTTTATTATAAGTGGCCATCAAATTTTTTTTATATTAATAGTATAAAAAAGATATATATAATTGAATGTATCAAGAACGAAATTTTTTAATTTTATGTCAAATCTTTGCTATACCTTAAAACAATAACGCCATCTTATTACAAATAACGACACAATTTTATTCGTCCAGCCAAAATAACTTAAGGGGAGTTGTTGAACCACTCTATTCTCTATAAATGGAATTTAATGATTATTTGTCTTCGAATAATTATTTGTCTTCGAAATAAAATATTGTTCTGAAGGCCGATATTAATGAGATTTTACCATATGATTTTAACAATTTTGCATATTTATAAATATTAACATATTTACCATATAATATTAAAATGAGATATAACATATAAATGAACATATACGCTATCTTATATAGTACCTACCATAACATTTTTATTAATTATGCATTAATTTAGACAACTGTTTACTTTTTTATATCCTTGCAAAGGAATCCAAGAAAGTTTTTGTAGAGTGACTACGATAACACGTTTTTCGTTAGAACCCACTGTGAAAAGTAAACTTTATGACACGTAATACTTTCTTTACGACATTTATACCATTAGCAAATATTTAATAAATATGTAATAAAATCGTTTTACATTTCATTTGAATTGCTAACGAAATTTAACTATGTTTTTTTGTGATAATTTCAGGTCAAAACAAAACAGAGTTAAGAAATTTTTGTAAATCAAGGTTGCATTCCGTGCACATACCATATCGTAACTATAAATAATAACGTCACACGACAATAATATAAACAACAACAAATAGAGTAACACAAATTCACAACGATGTCAGCAAGAACTCATCCACAAATGGCGCCGCCACCACCTCCAAAACCAAACAAATCGTCCGCGTCGTCATCATATGCAAATGGCAACGGTACCTTGGCGAATGGTAGTACCAACAGAGGTAGCGTTTCTTCGCTTACAGAAACTACATATCCAAATCAGAACGTAAATGGCCGTAGTCCTTGTTACACGCCACCGCGCACTGACAGAGAACAGGTAGTAATGACACCAAAAGGAAAAACAGCCAATAGCACAGTTATATTGATCGAACGTAAACTGGTGGATGAGATAAATGATCGTGTACATGTAGCAGGAGGAGATCACACAGGTATCATAATCAATAAAGATACTGTTAGTGGTCAGAAGAGTCAAAATGTACCTGCACAATTATCTTTGGAATTCCGAGTATTTCTTGTCAGCGCAAATACAGGCAAACATTCACAAGAGTCGCGTACGTTGAGATTTTGGTTTCGTGATTGGTTGACAAATGATGAAAGTCAAGCACATATAGCACAAGACTTCTTTAAAGAGTTAGTGAGTCCAAAAGATTTTCCCAGAGGTCAGTGAATACAATTTAAGATTATCTGTGTATATGTATATATTTAAAGTGACTTTCTACTTGTTTTCTTTGCATAGATTATGTTGGTTTTATTAAAAAAATCATGAAATTATTACAAAAAGGTTATGATGAGATACAATCACTGGAGATTGAGTTGCGCATTTTGGAAGAGACTTCAGCACCGCCGTCACGACCACGTAAGTAAAAATATTATTATTTCAAAAAAATTTGTAATAAATTTAGCGGAGTATGTTTTATTAAACTCTTTCTTAAAATATTTCAGTATTATTTATATTATATACATTAAATAAAAATCTTACTTTCAATTTTCTAAATAAGTTTCTAAATTTTCTTGGTACTTTGTATGTAACTTTTATGTGCAACAATATCAATCTATCTACTACTACTACATATCTACCTACAAATTTCCTCATATTACTCTTATACTTGATAATTTGATACCATATAGCAAGAGATGGTTACATTATATATTGCTACGGTGATTGCAACCGAAAATTTGAAGAAGCACTTTTAGCCCAGCAGAAAACAGGTGATAGCGATGACTTAATGAAGGCCATTTGGCTGAACATGTACAATGAGCAACTAACACTTAGAAATTAACTTCGCGATATCTTTTCTAACTGCGCTAAATATAATTAACCATGTTCATGTGTTTCAAATGTTATGAATTTTGATTTCCGATTTTTTTAACCAAATTTAAGCATCAGCTTAAGTTTCACTTTATTTTTTTTAACTTGGTTTATTGAGACGTCTTGAGTTATTTTTCAATGTCAAGTTTTTATTTATTTTCATTTCATTCTGTTGACCTCACCATTTGCATGTTTGTTTATCTGTACAATATATAAAAAAAAATGTTTATAAATAATTTAATAAAAATAAAAATGCAAATTTTACTGTTAATGCTTTTTACTAAGAATATTACTAAAAGTCTTCTGGGTTTGACAGCTGCAGCAGGAAATTAAAGCAAGCTTTTCTGTCTACCGCGTAAATCTTCTTTAAGGGTTGATAACTTTACACATCCTGATGCTTCAAAAGCATCACGAAGTACATTCATCCTTTTATATCAACATGAAAAACGTAGCTTTCATAGATGATATGAGTCGGAAATAATTACATACGTAATGCCTCGCTTAACGCCTTAAGAACTTAATGGTATTAAGTGTATAATATGGAGAAGTACTTACTTTTGTCTATCTTAGGAAGCTAAAAAGATTTGGAATATAAATTCTTTAGTCTTAAAGAATATTTACCTTTAAATTTTAAACAACACTAACAAAGGTGGGATGAATAATTTAGAATTCGAATATAATAATATATGAATTATTTAGAGATAGCATCGGCTTTATTCATCAATTAATTTTTTTCTCAACTTTAACACAACCTTTCCATAAAGTTTCATATATTTTTACAAATTTCTTGTAGTATGATCTGTCAAAACCAACAAAGTAAGCTTCTATATCGACAATCACTTGTTCATTCGAAACAAATTTCTGAAGCATCCCTTTAAAATTTACGTACAAGTATTAATCGCTAGGGGTTAGATTTAGAGATTACTATTGGTGCTAGGATAAATCGAAGTATAATTTGTAGGGTTTGCTTTTTGTTTACATCGATTTACGACAAGAGTTCGTGTACATGTTTTACATGGTTATGTGTATTAAGAGCTAAACATCACATCACAGTCCCACTGGAAAAAGAATACCAATTGAACTTCTATGCTTGAAATTAACTTCAAGCATAATCCAAAGAACTAATATTCTATGGATTTGTATATATTGAATTATTGTATATACTGAATATTGAGTGAATACAGAAATGTTAACACTTTTTCTACGTAACTCTAGGTGTTACCCACAATCATAACAACACTCACTGAGTTGACTCAATGTCCAGGACAATCATATTTGCTGCTATCTAAATTCATCGTGGGTACCGGGTTTTATCCATAATGAACTGTCGCAAGTAAAACCGCAGTTGCTACCAATTATACTCTTAAGTAGTACAAGGTGATACCTTAATGGATTTCAGTTGCATTTTACGACAAGAATGTCTTACTTCGAAAAAATAAGGTTTATGACATAATGTTTGAAAGAAAACTTTATATTTTTTTATTTCGGGAAGTAGTAGAATTGTATAAAATTATTTATAATCCTATATACATAATATACACTATAGATAATTTTTCCGTTTTCGAGATTATCAATTAATATGTTTAATAGTTTTCGAACTATTGTTGTATATTTTCTGACTTTGGTTGTCCACTAAGCTAACACTTATTTCGGCCATAACTAAATACTGCCAGTAGAAATCGTTCTCCTTGCGCTCAGAATTATAATATTCATGTAAATATATATCACACTCTGAACAATGTTAATTAAAAGAATTTTGTAAATATCTTTAACGTTCCCGCAGTATCAATAAAATTTAAACTTCAATTATATGCGACGTGGTCAGCGTCTGTATGTCAGGGGTTAAATTTAGCATATCAATAAATTATGACTGATTTCTTTGGCATATATATAGATCTTGTAAAGTTTATCACACAATTTAAAAAATTATCTTAAGGTTCAACTACATTTATATTGTAATGGTATTGTATTTACATTTTATACAATTTTATACAATAAAATGGTAAATACAGAAAAAAGCTTAAAGTTATAGTTATGATTAACGAAATGAGAGACGCCGTTAATCTTACCTCAACTGAAATAAGACCACTTAATTAACTTATAATTAACTTTCTTCTTCTCAGTTGTTTATAGTACTTTTCAGTAGAGTTCAGATTAATCAGTATTTGGGTGTAATGCATTAATTGAAGATAGAGGCTTCCTCATAATGGCTCTATATAAATATTATGTGTGCTGTATTCCACATTTGGTTTAATAATATGTTTGTTCTCCAGATCGATAAAATCTTTTTATATATTGTGTACCTAACATGATTTATCTATATGATCCACTTATACGGTCAATGTTTGTATCACTTATGGTACTTCTATTCTTTTTTGTGTAGTATGTGGTTATGCTTGCAATGATATATATATATATATTCTTCGTAATCAAATAAATACTAAATGAATCCACATTTTATATGTTAAATATGTAAAAAATTGCTGACAAGTAACCACCAAGCCACTTAATTATTGCTTGCATAAAATAATCTTCCTAATTGAATTCACAAAAGTTCTGACTCCATCACATTTAAATTAATGTTTTATTTTAATCAAAGAGTACCCAAATTACTCTTAATAATGCAAGTCAGCGCTTTGTTGCAATGTTTTATTAAAACTGATAAAAAATTTTTATTAATCAATTACTTCAATTACATCATTTTTCTTTTCTTTTTATTTTTTATAGTTTCTCTGGAAGAATCACAATTTGAATCTCCACCACTAACACCAGAAAAAGTGCTTGAGCTTATTGAACAAGCGTATCCAAATCCAATAACTCCAGAAGATTTGGCAAAGTAAGTTACAAAATATTTCTATTCGTGCTTCAAAAATTAATCTATCTGTTCGAGTCATGTTGCACTTGATGTTTGTTCAAATGTTCGAGAACATTGAGGCCGGACATTGAAAATGATATGTTGCTGTTATAAGTACTTGTATACAAAAAACATAAATAATATGAAATGGAAAAGAGATTTGCTGTTTGATCAGCTCGGACATATTTAAGCAGATTACACATTTTGAAGGGTTCCTCTAAATGTATTGAATATATTCGAACTGCTCGAACATTTTGAAGCACTGATTTATATAGATTAATGTTTAGTGTTAAACCTAATTTTAATATTATTGCAGAGATTATGGCTGGGAGGAACAAGACGTCATATTAGTATTCCTATCCTTAAAGGAAAGAGGACTTATTAAGTCAATGGAATATAATTCATACACAAGGATACATCACGAAGATAAAGAAATTAAGGTAGATATCTTAATATTTTATGTATAATATAAAGAATTATATATATCTTCAACTCAATTTTAGGTTGTTAAGCAAATGCCCACAATTGCATCGAATAAACAGCCAACAATTGCGATAATCACTGCTCAGTATTGTGAGAAACTTGCAGTGGATGCCATGTTAGAAAACAAGGAAACATTTGTGCGCTATACAACAGTTGGTTAGTATCTTTTATATTATATTTCATATATTAAAAAATATCTACTAAAAATCAACATACTAATATATCGTACTAATGCAATGATTTTCTTTCTCTCTTCCTTATCTACTCCTTCCTTCACTTACATATTGCAACTTCAATCGAATGTTAAACGACGTTACATTCTATTGTTAAAATAAAACTGATTAACCAAAAATTGAAAAAAAAAACTGAAAAAATTAAATATATAGATTCAGATACCTTAACGAATTCATTAAGAACTAAAAAGAAAAGAAGATTTGGTAAGCCCACGACGATTTCTATGTTATCACACATTACCTCACCCAAACTTTATTGGAATTGTTTTAATTGTTGTAAATTTGTTATAATGTTGCTTTAATTGTGGTCCTGGTTTCGGGTAGGCAACTGGTAAAAAATTGTATATAATTTCTTAAAAATTTTGTGTTGTTTTTGTGTTCTGTAAACACATTCATCTAACTGGCAAAATTATCAGCAAAAATCCATGCACTCAATTTTTTTTTGTGTGTACTAAACACATAATCCATTATTTGTATATTTTATCCACCACAATCGTTACACCGATTTGAAGCTATTTACAATTTTTTAATAAAGTAAAATTTTCATTATATTCATCTCGTTATTACTTTTATGAAATTAAATAGGTGAATCGAACGTTTATACCTTGGGCAATATTGGCGCGCATCGCATTGTCAGCACAAAACTACCATCGGTGGGCAGCACACGAGAGGCTATGACAGCTACTGGTAATACAACCACTAGATTGTTGGGTACTTTCCAAAAAGTGGATTATGTGTTTATAGTAGGAGTTGCTGGTGGTGTACCACATTACACGGATTATAAGAAGCATGTCCGTCTAGGAGATGTTGTAATCTCATATGTGGATAAACAACGAGCTTTGATGAATACGTAAGTTAATTATATGAATCATATTACATATAATGTATTCAATTTATCCAACATTAGCAAAGAAAAACCATATGTATATGTCTATAAAACTGGTGAGGATGTTAAAACTTATTTCCCAATTAATGACTCATTACAACATATTGCTGAGAGTCTGCAAGCCAATATGGAGTCCCGTCGTCCATGGGATACTTATCTCAAAGATGGACTTAATGTTTTAATGCAAAAAACAGAAAGTGATTTTAATCGTCCAGCCGCTAACACAGATAAACTCTTCATGAATATTGGCAATAATGAAGTTATAGAAGTTGCACATCCAATAGCTGCGGATTCAGTTGATGGCTTACCAAAAACACGTCTACATTTAGGTCCAATTGGTTCTGGTCGTGACCTTGTACGCAGTGATAATTTACGTATGGAATTTGCTAAGAAATACGGCCTTTTGGCAACCGACGTGGAAATGAGCTCTGTACTTGACAGCATTATTGGCAATTGCAGAGAAAGTTTTATTTTAGTCAAAGGTAATACATTTTTTTAATAATACTATTATTTAAATAATATACCAATTTTATTTTGAAGGCATATCCGATTACAAAGATGGCATGTCTACACGTAAATGGCAGAATTTCTCTTCACTGGCTGCGGCTTCAGTTGTCAAATCGATTATTTGTGGCATGGATGCGCCTACAAACGTTTAGATTACTTTTATTTTTATACAAAACAGAAATTAATATTTATACGCATTTAGTATACATATTTTTAATAAATAAATAAGTTTTTTTTATAATTATGAATATAAATAATTTTTAAAAATATATTATATACGAAATATTCTACTGAAAAACAACCGCACTTTGCATATTTATAAATGGATTTTATTAACACTTGGATTATGTTTTTTATATAATTTGTGTTATATATACTTTTTGAGATTTGTTATTTTATTGTTAATTTTTGTTATGTAAATTTTATAAAGTAAAATATATTCCTTCTTTGTTTTGTTTGTAAATAGTATTAAAATGCAAAAGCAACCATAAACACATTTAAATATTATTATTTGAACGAATTTGTTTGAAATAATAATACTTTAACAATAACAATAACATTATAAAATAAAAGCACAGCATATATGCAATAAATATATATATTTACAACTTAGCTCTCAGAATAAAATTATTTATTAATACAAATTTTATCAAATATCGTTGTCATTAATATTTTCAACAATAATTTGAAAGATAGAATTTTTTTTTAAACACAAAGTATTGAGTTTTTATATTATATATGGAATAGACGTCTCATATAAGAAATATCCAATTTAACAAATGACTGAATTTTGTGTATAATGATTCATAATGATTTCAGGCATACTACAGTAAAAAACTAATATGAAATGAAATCTGTCGTTATAACAACAACTGAAATGTACAAAAAATTTCTGTCAAACAGACACATATTTGCTAGTATAATCTATGAGGTGAGCAATATTTTATCGTCGTAATTGACAAGTGGCTCCGCGACGTAAACCCAGTCGATGCTGAAACTTATTTCCCAACGTGTGCCTCAGCTGTAGCACTATCCACCTTAATGTTGCCCATTTGTTTTTAAGTCCCAATATACACACTAATTTAAACCCTATTTATCTTTGGCTCTAACGCACTGATGTGAAAAAATTTCTCCACCTTCATGTAGGCATGTTTCAATTAAGTATCCCAAATAACCACTCTTTTTTTCATTCACCTCTATCTAGTCTATATTCTTTCTCATGTATTCGAATATTATAATACCTTTTATGTAAATCTCCTCGGATTACAACAACAACAAAAAAATGCTGTAGAACAAATAGTTTCTATGCAAACGGATAAATGAAACCAAACTATTAACACTATTACCTATATATAGTCCGTTCTATTCTACATTATTTTTATTGTATATATATTTAGTACAAATATGCTGGACCTGTGATTAAGGTAGAGGTACTTTTTTTGATTCACTTAGAGAGTAGAAGACAAACAAAGAGAACTGTATTGAATTAATCTACTATGGCTGTATCCAATAAAATTGCAAATGGGCTCCAAATTGATTTACAGAATTATATTGGAAATCCTAATAACGCACTATAGATGAATTTAACATACAAAACTGGAAATTTAGTTCATGGTATGTTTTATATAGAAGAAAATGATCCTTGCGGGATCCTACTTCTGCTAATCTCGTAGCTCGGTACTGATACATAGAGAAAATAACTGCCTAGTTTGAATATCTTACAACGAATGAAAAATAGGAATCAGTAAAATATGTTTGATATTCTTATTTTTTGTGAAATCTACCATTAGAGATATTCTCTGAATTAATTAAAGGGCACCACAGATGCTTAGACCGCAGTGGAAAGTTTAATAATAATTATGTACATAAATTATGTACATAAATTGATATTTAATGGTGCAAGATAAAATAATATTACTCAAAAAAAAAGGAATATCTCAAGAAATATACTTTGATAATTAAAATAATAAACCTATTATCTTTAATAATAATAAATATTAATCTATCGGCAAATAAAATATCTTAGTAGGTACCGGGTTACAGAATAATATAAAAAGCTTCATGAATGAAAGAACAATTACGAAAAAAACTTTTTCACACAACATATATATAAACATTGAAATGGGAATAGGAAATTGGAACTGCAACAAACACAAGGAATAAAAAAAAGAATCTTCGCTTCCCTGACAAGAAATATCTTCGAATAGAAGATAGTGCAGTATTAAAGAAATTTTCATGTCTCTATCTATATATAATCTATATATAAATATAGATCTATATATAAGATATATCTATATATAAGATCTATATATAAGATATATCATATCATATCTATATAAGAATCTATATATAAACATTTTCAATATTAAGAATTATTTTCCCCATTCAGATATTCAGCTTAACATATGATAATATTTTAGGAATAAGAATTCTATATAAATAAAATTTGAAACAATGGATTTCTAAACAACAAAAGGTTTCTTTAAGATATAGTACACTAAAAATAATTATCGTGGGTGTTTAGGTATTCTATCTATGAATTTTCTTTGAAAACAACCCTTAGGTTCTACTTTAATAATTACAGACCAATAATTCTATTCTTATGTATTTCAAGATACTACAAAAATACATATAAATTAATAGACAGCATAACAATTAACATTATTTTTTTAATTAACAAAATTATATAATTAAGAAATTATTTTTACATTTTCAAATATTTTAAACCGCCACTGCTCGAAAGTTTTCAACAAATTTTAAGCTTTCATACTCACCACACTCATATTCACCAAAACTTGAACGAATTTTCGAAGAAGAAACTTTTAGGCAAAAATAATAAATTCTATTAGTCGTTCTTCAGCGGCCAAATTGGAAGGTTGGTTTTGTTTACGGTTGAATACAGGAAAACTCTAAAAACCACGTGGACAGTTTGAATTAATTTTTTTTTTGATAAAAATATTTATTTATCTTTTCACATACGTAAAACGTGAGTGTTTACTAAATTTAACAAATAACAATACTTTTAGTCTTTAATGTGTTTAATATAAAACTACGTATAATGCAAAATCCATGTTTGTTCAACTGCAGAAGTTGTCTGTGATGGAACCAAAGTGTTTAGGTTATTCAACTCTTCAAATAAGTTATCATTGAATAATAGGATTATGCATAAAATTAATTTAATCAATAATATTTTTCTTAATTTCAAAATATAATAAAATTTGACTCAGTATATATATGTATTTACTTAATATTATTGTATCTGAACGTGTGAACGTGTTTTTAGTTATCAGAAACTTCTCACGAAAACGCACTTAAAAATGTACGCAGAAGTAATTTACATAAAAGGTTTTTCTCCAGACAGAGTATCCAGACTGTATCTGTAGTTTCGACTGTACTGAACCGGTTTCGGTTTTTAATTATCAAATGAAATAACATCTGGAACTTTTTTCTTTTTGCAATTTTTTTTAAATATTTTTCTGATATGTGTGATAATTACAAGTTAGCAGAATAATATGAATAATCGAAAAAAATTATTTAATGACTATTGAAGATAAACAAATAAAGTAAAAAAAACAAACAAGCACTTCTCATTCCAAGAAAATCATGACTTTTTTTATTTACTTTACATAAGTAAATAATTATATATCTTCCGATACATACATATCTTCCATGTTAATGTTAAGTCTTATCAACAATATCAGCCGAGCACTTTGAGTTCACAAGTAAAAACGTGATTTTCAATGGTCAAATAATTTATTTATTTAAGCAATTGCCGGTTTATGTTCTATTTTTGTGCAAAAATTAGGTCTCTTCAGCTTTGTTGTTCCGAATGTCTGCCATACTGTTGATTGCTGATAAAAAAAAATTATGTCGTGAAAAAGCCGACACATCCATCGCTGAGAGATTATAGCGGAGAGCATAAGAATTCTTTTGCCAAGTAAACAATAACAAACAATTTTATAATAAAAACAACAGGTGTGGGCAAACGCAAAGACTTTGGTACTTGTGTATGCTTTTCTAGATAACTTTCAATTTCACAGTTATAGACTAAAGTCTCCATAGAGCATAATTTAAAAAATATAATAGCTCTTATAATAATAGTATAATAACATTCTGCTTTTTCACTGTGAGTAACCAGTTTTTCTCAAGATTAACAAAAATATTTAAAATTTTATTTCCCAGAAGATCTAACAAAAATATCGAAATTTAAATCAATATTCAATTGAATGTTTTTTTTACGGTCTATTCCATTTACTTAGATAGGAAGCTGGCAGGCAATAAGGTTAGGCTTCGAATTCGTTAGTCAAACTGAAAATACCAGACATTATAAGTGTAAACATTTTATAAACTAATATGAGATTCATCATTCATAGTTAAGCAGCAGATTTACACTCTCCATAAATCAAATATAAAGTAATACAATCATGTATTACCATCTCTCAATGAGATCAGTAGACACACATTACAGACGTGAGTCGTCCTTGGCCGCGTCGAGTAGCCCCCGCCAGCCTCCTGCGGGTACCGAATCAAACACCTTTCTAGCCGGAGCACTTTTTTCCATTCACACGACATGACCAAGCTAGCAAAACCGCTGAATTTTTATGCACTTAACTATGTCAATGTCGCGGTATAGCTTATACAGCTTGTATAAGCTGTATAACCAACTTGTAAGGGACCATAGATCTTGCAAAGAATTTTTCTCTCGAATGCTCCAAACGCCTTCTTATTACTGTGGGTAATTGTGCAGGCATCTGCACCATACAGCAGGACAGGCATGATAAGAGATTTGTAGAGCATGATTTCTGTTTGTCGAGAGAGGGCTTTATTTCTCAATTGCCTACTTAGCCAGAAGTAACATCTGTTGGAAAGAGTGATTCTTCGTTGAATCTCTAGACTCACGTCATTTTTGGTGTTTAAGCTGATTCCTAAATAAACAAAGTCGTTCACTATTTCGAACTTATAATTGTTTTGTCCTCATTCACCACAAGACCCATTTGCTTTGCTTGTCTTTCTAAGTTGGAAAATGCCGCACTGATGGGTTGGTATTCAGGTCAATGATAACAATATCATTGGCATAACATACGTATGCAGCATTACACTTTTGTAGAATATTGTGCTAGTGTGTTTTAAATTTGCTGCTCAAATAATCGTTTCCAACATTAAGTTAAACTAATCACATGACTAGTCAGAGTCACCCTGTCTGAAACCTCGTTTGGTATCAAACGGCTCGGAGAGATTCTTCCCAACGGAACTGGTGGTGCTGTTCAACGCTGTAGTGTCAAAAGCGCTACGTAATCGACAAATAAGTGGTGTGTCGATTTGTTTTTCTTGGGTTTTCTCCAGGATTTGACGTACTGTGAATATCTGGTCTAGAGTGGATTTGCTAGGTCTGAAGCCACACTTCAGTTGGTTGACGATTGACTTCAATCTTAAACACAGTTGCTTACTATATATTCACATATCAATTATTGCCTGAAAATCTACGACAAACGATTTTTTCCGGAAACTGATTCAGTTGCACCAAGACTTACTTGCACATATACCTATCCATCTATTAACTCAGCTAGACCCTAAAACGTATTTCATTTAAGTAGGATTGGAAGCCTTAATGTTATCTATCTTGCAACCGGTCATTTTTTAATAAACAAGAGAGGCAGATATTTTTAAAATAAACCAGCATTAGCAACCAGCATTAAACTCTTTTTCGGATACTCCAGTGCACTATCACAAACTATTAGAAACCTTACAAAACTTGCAATAATTTCAACTCCAGAGTAATGCAACGGATCCATTAGCAGTCTACTTGTAATCTGACATATACATTTTCTCTGAAACCTAGCAGTATAACAAACTTTCAGGAAAATATAATTGCTGCTAGTTGTATCTAACGTATCTTAATCTAAGAAATATATGGAAGCAGTTAATTTTTTTGTACCATTTTAATAAACTATCTGTTTTTAATAGTCGCAGAAGAAAAAACGAGTTTGGTGATTCCCGGTATTCAGTTTTATTTACTTTATTACTAAAATACTTTAAAAAAAATTACTGAGATTGTAGCTACAATATCAGATATTGATTTTTGGATTTACTAGTTTTTTAAAGTTTTAATTTGTGAGCATATATTGAAAGTATGTAAATAATATGTTCCAAATAATCTAATTCAATTGTTTTTATTTAGCTAAAATTTTTAAAACAAAATGTCCGGCCGCAATTGTTTTTTAATACTCGAAGACTCAACTGTCCTCTCGGGTAATGCATTTGGTGCAGAAATACCAGTCGATGGGGAAGTTGTATTTCAGACTGGCATGGTCGGTTATACAGAATCGATGACTGATCGTTCTTATCGTGCACAATTACTTGTGCTTACCTATCCATTGATAGGCAATTATGGCATTCCTGAATACTCTGAAATGGATGAATATGGTTTACCCAAACATTTTGAATGGTTTAACGATATATCAGTAGCTGCCTTAATAGTAGGTGAAATCTGTGAAAAACCTTCACACTGGCGCTCAAAACTAACACTCTCCAAGTGGATGGAAACAAAAGGCATACCTGGTATAAGTGGTATCGATACACGTTCATTAACAAAAAAGCTACGTGAAAAAGGTTCCATTTTGGGTCGCGTTGTGTACGAATTACCCGATAATATAAATAACTTTAATTTTAATGATCCAAACAAAAGAAACTTAGTTGCGGAATGCTCTTTAACAAGTACCAGAAAATTTGGTCCTGAAAGTGGTGCAATTAGAATTTGCGCTATTGACTGTGGCTTGAAGTTAAACCAAATTAGATGTCTTTTATCGCGTGGTGCATCTGTTGAAGTGGTGCCTTGGAATCATGCTTTGGATGAAACTCAATTTGATGGCTTATTTATTAGTAACGGTCCTGGCGATCCAGTTGTATGTAAAGACACTGTATCGCAAATAGCGAAGGTTTATAAAAATGGACAGAAACCAATTTTTGGTATTTGCTTAGGTCATCAATTGCTTGCCACAGCCATTGGTTGCAAAACATATAAAATGAAATATGGGAATCGCGGTCATAACTTACCTTGCGTTCATAACGGCACAGGACGTTGTTTTATGACTTCACAAAATCATGGATTCGCTGTGGATACTAAGACATTACCCGCTGATTGGGAGCCACTTTTTACAAATGCGAATGACAACACCAATGAAGGTACTCACATAATTTTTACATTTATTTATTTTTTTTATTTTCATATCAATTTTTATATTGGCAGGAATCATACACAAAACGAAACCCTATTTCTCTGTGCAATTTCATCCTGAGCACTCAGCCGGCCCCGAAGACTTAGAGCTATTATTTGATGTTTTTCTTGATGTTGTTAAGCAACAAGCTTCTCAGAAAGCTAGCGTAAGTCTACGTAAACAATTAACTGAACGCCTAACATACGTACCGAAACCAGAAACTTTGCTCGAAAAACGTCCTCGCAAAGTTTTAATACTTGGTTCTGGTGGTTTATCTATAGGCCAAGCTGGAGAATTCGATTACTCTGGATCACAAGCCATAAAAGCACTTAAAGAAGAAAAAATTCAAACTATATTAATCAATCCCAATATTGCAACTGTTCAAACTTCAAAAGGCCTTGCAGATAAATGTTACTTCCTACCTTTAACACCAGAATACGTAGAGCAAGTAATTAAAGCTGAGCGCCCCAATGGAGTGTTACTCACGTTTGGCGGACAAACTGCTTTAAATTGTGGGGTAGAACTCGAACGCGCTGGAATATTTGCTAAATATAACGTAAGAATTCTTGGCACACCCATACAATCCATTATTGAAACTGAAGATCGTAAGATATTTGCTGATCGTGTAAATGAAATTGGTGAACGTGTTGCACCATCAGAGGCTGTTTACTCAGTTGAAGAAGCGCTTGAAGCTGCAACGCGTCTAGGATATCCTGTTATGGCAAGAGCAGCATTTTCTTTAGGTGGCTTAGGATCTGGCTTTGCCAACAATGAAACTGAATTGGAAACGCTTTCACGACAGGCTTTGGCGCATTCCAGTCAATTAATTATTGATAAATCCCTTAAAGGCTGGAAGGAAGTTGAGTATGAAGTTGTAAGGGATGCTTTTGATAACTGTATTACAGTTTGTAATATGGAAAACTTAGATCCATTAGGTATACATACTGGAGAAAGTATTGTTGTTGCTCCATCGCAAACCTTGTCAAACAAAGAATACAATATGCTGCGCAGTACTGCCTTAAAGGTAATTAGACATTTTGGAGTAGTAGGCGAATGTAATATACAATATGCGTTAAATCCGAATTCGGAAGAATATTATATCATTGAAGTGAATGCACGTCTGTCGAGAAGTTCTGCATTAGCCAGCAAAGCAACGGGATACCCTTTGGCTTATGTTGCAGCTAAGTTGTCATTAGGTGTAGCATTGCCTACAATTAAAAATTCTGTTACTGGTGTTACAACAGCGTGTTTCGAACCCAGTTTGGATTATTGCGTAGTAAAAATACCTCGTTGGGATTTATCAAAGTTCATACGAGTGAGTAAGAATATCGGTAGCTCTATGAAGAGTGTAGGAGAAGTTATGGCAATAGGACGAAATTTCGAAGAAGCCTTTCAAAAAGCATTACGTATGGTCGACAATGCTGTTAATGGATTTGATCCATTTGTACAACCTCTAAAGAAGGAAGAACTTACTGAACCAACTGATAAACGTCCATTTGTGCTTGCTGCAGCTCTTAAAGATGCCTATACCGTTGATGAACTGCATGACTTAACAAAAATAGACAAATGGTTCCTAAACAAAATGAAGAACATAATAGAATTTTATGGAGTGCTAGAAACAGCTGGAAACTCGTTAAAATCTGAAGAAATACTCGAAGCTAAGCAAATGGGTTTCTCAGACAAACAAATTGCATCAGCTACAAATAGTACGGAACTAGCAGTACGCAAAATGCGACAGGAATTCGGTATTAAGCCATTCGTGAAACAAATAGACACTGTAGCTGGTGAATGGCCTGCAGCAACTAACTACCTTTATATAACGTATAATGCGACTGACCACGATTTGGAATTCCCAGGTGGCTATACCATTGTAGTTGGTTCTGGCGTATATCGGATTGGTTCCTCCGTTGAATTTGATTCGTGTGCTGTTGGATGTTTACGAGAACTACGAAATCTTGGTAAATCAACAATAATGATCAACTATAACCCTGAAACAGTTTCCACTGATTACGATATGTGCGATCGTTTATATTTCGAAGAGATCTCTTTTGAAATAGTAATGGATATTTATGAAATTGAACAATCCGAAGGCATTATTTTGTCAATGGGCGGTCAATTACCAAACAATATAGCTATGGATCTACATCGCCAACAAGCAAAGGTATTAGGCACATCTCCAGAATCTATTGATAGTGCAGAAAATCGTTTTAAATTTTCACGTATGTTGGATCGTAAAGGCATTTTGCAACCACGTTGGAAAGAACTTACAAATTTAAACAGTGCTATAGCATTTTGTGAAGAAGTTGGGTATCCTTGTTTGGTACGTCCGTCTTATGTATTGTCTGGGGCTGCTATGAATGTAGCATACTCAAATCAGGATTTGGCGACATATTTAACTGCGGCCTCATTAGTGAGCAAAGAGCATCCTGTTGTTATATCTAAATTTCTTACTGAAGCAAAAGAAATCGATGTCGACGCAGTTGCAGCTGATGGTGAAATTCTTTGTATGGCAGTGTCTGAGCATGTAGAAAATGCAGGCGTTCATTCTGGTGATGCTACGTTGGTAACTCCACCTCAGGACTTAAATAAGGAAACACTCGATAACATAAAACGTATTGCACGTGATTTAGCTGCCCTATTAGATGTCACTGGTCCATTCAATATGCAATTAATAGCTAAAAACAATGAACTTAAAGTGATTGAGTGTAATGTCCGCGTCTCACGTTCTTTCCCTTTTGTCTCCAAAACACTTAATCATGATTTCGTTGCTACTGCAACCCGTGCTATCATTGGTTTACCCGTCGAACCTGTAGAAGTATTACACGGTGTCGGAAAAGTTGGCGTAAAAGTGCCACAATTCAGTTTTTCACGACTTGCCGGAGCCGATGTGCAATTGGGAGTGGAAATGGCTTCAACTGGTGAGGTTGCGTGCTTTGGCGATAATCGTTATGAAGCATATTTAAAAGCGATGATGTCAACTGGTTTCCAAATACCAAAGAAAGCTGTTTTGCTTTCAATTGGTAGTTTTAAAGTAAGTTTTTTTACTATTCTTTTTAAATATTTTTATTAAATTTGTTTTGTTTTTTTTAGCATAAAATGGAATTATTACCGTCTATTAGAGATTTAGCTAAAATGGGTTATAAACTATATGCTTCAATGGGAACTGGGGATTTTTATGCAGAACACGGAGTTGACGTAAGTACTTGTGAATTCTTTCCAATCAGTTGTATTTAATCTTATATTCATTTTATAGTGCTATTAACTAAATGTATATTAATATATCTCATATGAAATTTTCAGAGATTTTTGTTCAGCGATGGTGTTCATTACAGTTTTCATTAATCTTTGGTCTACAAGAGGTGATAATAAATAGTTTTTAGTCTGAATTTTTTGGTTCAATGCTTTATTTCCCTTGGAAATGCTAACCGAATTTGTCTGCGTCACAGACAAGTACCTTTAGTTCATTAATAGAACAAATAAAATTTGGTGTCAGTTATTTACTGATATCGAATTGAGAGACACCTTTCTAATGATTCTTGACATATTCACTTGTAGGCAGATTTCACACATATCATTTCCTATATAAACTATACAAAGTGTTCTATATTATATGAGACACAACATATGATTGGAAACATTTTATTCTAAATTATACATCAATAAATAACTGTCATTGTATTCATTTTATTCTATCAGTATTTTGTACTTTATTACCATCTAATATCAACATTGATGACATTTAATCACATATAATAAACTAATTTTGACACATATTACAATAATGGTAATTACTTTGCGGCATCAATTAATTTTATCAATGAATGTTATTATGCATTAATTAATATCATTAAATAAAATTAAAGCTTACACCTCGTTATCAGTGAAATTTCTTATCAGTATTACCACTTCATTCTTTACTAATAAAAACCACATAAAAACTGAAACGTTTCATATCAAATAATTCTCATACAAATTACATGAAATTCCTATTAAACAATTTTCAAAATAAATTCCAACTAATTAATCTAATTATCAGTTAATTAAGGACCGCAAAGCTATAACTACGTATCAGAAATTTGATTAAACGCTCCTTTAAGTTGTACGGTCTTTCGCTTAACCATATCTCGTATTTGAGCCGTCTTCTCTTCAGCCGAAATCGTAGTTAGAATTTTTTCCGTTGATGTTGAAATGTTCTTAGCTAACTTCGAATTGGCGATTGGCGTTGATTTCAAAATACCAGCGGCTGTACCAAATTTGGTCCAAAATGGTTTTGAGCTAACACCATCTGCTGTTGTGGATGTAGGTGTACTTGTATTTTCAGTTATGGTTGCATCTGTTAAAGGTGTTGCTGCTGTTTCCAATGTTGGTATTTGAGAAATTCCACAAGTTACTTCTTCCTCTGAGATTGTACTCGAAACATCCACCACTTTATCTTCTAATACTTTTGAATTATTATAATTGTGTTGAGATCTTAAAATGCCAATAGGATGTTGAACATCAGGCTTTTGAATGGGATTTATATCACCTTCATGTACTTCTACTATATGTTCTATAAATTTGATCGATTTACGAGGTTCAATCGGACTTGGAGATTTTAATTTATCATTTATTTGCAAATGTTTTGTCATTGAGTCGTCACCGCAAGTAATAATACTAACACGTGGACGTAACACTTTTGGCGAATGTTCGATTAATCCACTACGGTTTTTCTCTGAATCGGACTTCACTTCAACGTAAAAATTACTTTTAGCAGTCTCAACTCTATCTAACAATTGTTCCTTTGTCTTTTGAAAAGATTGTATAGTATCTATACTTGCTCGTATTGGTAAAGCAGGCGCGTGAGTTTCATGTTCATCTGCTTCCTCTATATCAAGTAGTTTTTCCTCTAATTTGTGTATATCAGATAAGTACTCCTTTGCATTGATATCACAACCAGATTTGTGATAGCATTTACAAAGTCTCTTAGCTTGAGCAATATAAATTTTTGCTGTATGCGCTATTTGCATATGTATAGCTTTATTAGACATTGCCAGTAAATGATCTAAAAGAACTTCAAGTATATTAGTACGGCGCAAACTTTCCAATCCCTGATTAATATGACGAGCTTGTGTATTTTTTAAATCCTTTGTGAAAAAGAACTGAAATATTAATATTATTAAAAATAATTGAAAGAAAAGTTTTATTACATATATATACCAACCTCAACATCAATGGACTCAATTGATATACGTTTCTGTTCGTAATCCAATTTTTTCTTTACCTCAATATTATGCCTCATCAAATGTGTTCTTCGTCGTAACTTACCATTTGTTTTTTCGCGAAATTGTTTCATGCCCACCAATCCTTTGGCTCCTTCATCTACCATTAAGCTGGGTTCTTCTTCTTCTTTTTCTAAAATTGATAGGGTGCGCGAATTTTTTGATAACGTTTTAAGCTTTATTATATAATTTTCACTTAAATTTTCGAAAATTCTTTTAAAATTTAATTTTGGAAAAAATTTTTCAGAAAATTCTAAATTTCTTAGAGCAACCATTAAGTGCATTAATGGGTTGGCAGTTATATCGGCTAAAATGGAATATAAAGTTATAAGTGAATAATCGGGTATGTTCTCGAGCAAATTGCGTTCATCAATAAAATAGTCTCTTAAACATTTTTCCCGTAAGCTCTGCATGTAAGTTTTTAAAAAACGAATCAAAACTTCTCCAAGAAACTCCTCTGGCCAAGCAATGTAATTTCGTTCACATTCCCAAAAGAGGTGCATACGCAAATGATCAACTACGAACAATAACGCTTTATTCTTTTCCCTCTGCTCCACAAATGTTTTGATAAGCGCTTTAGCCATTATAAATACTTTTACTTGAGTATTCGTCAAGTGCTGCTCTAAATACCTTTCTGCTTTTGGAAACACAATTCTCCACTCTATTTCTCTAAAAGGATTCCGTTGTCTTTTCGGCACATAACCCATAGGCACAACATGAAAACCAAATGTCTCAATCCGTTTGATCATAGCTCGCGTGGGCCACTGCATTTGTTGTCCTGTTGACGGATTTGTAAATACTGGTCGATCTCGTATTCGAAATTGAAAAGCACAATCTGGCCAATTTTGTGCATTATGTGCTACATGAATTGCAGGTATAATTTCAAACTGTTCGGTGTGTATAGAACATCCACGATATGTTGCTGTTGTTAATTCTTCTTGTGAAAGACCAAGTGGTTCCCTCAATTTATGTTGTATTAATGCACTAAAGTAGCATAAGAATTCCCTTGAATTTAAAAACTTTTGTCTCAACAATTTTTTGCGATGTTCTTGTTCAATCTTATATAAACGAATCGCTTCTAAAGTCTCGTAGTCTTTGTATTTTTCCATACCAGTTTCACTGGTGGTACTGTAGCCATCCTCCTCATCGTCATCATACTCTTCCTCCTCACTTTCCTCATCAGATTCTAGGTCATTAATTAGTTCAATGAAATTTTCTAAGCTCGAAACGCATGATTCTGGCAATACTTTTTCATTTACCTGAAATGCCGAACGTGAACTACTCAATTGAAGTTCGTTCAGCGGTAAATTCGTATTTAGACGTGTAATATAAGTATAATCATAATCACAATCTGAGCTATAGAAACTTTTTCTTCTTTCATTAGTGAATTTCTTCGTGCTATACACACTTGTAGTGCTATAACCTGAACTACACTCAGTATAATATTCTTCTACATTACTGCTTAGGTTTTTTTGAAGTTTTGGATCTTCTCGCATTTTAAGACGCACATAACCTTTCCACTTAATTTCACGTAACATATCGACGTAATCTTCTTTGCATGGTGTAGTCCTGAAATAATCTGTATCCATTTCTACTTTACAAAGTGCAGATATAGAATCATAATTAGCATCGTTGGGTCGTGCTATGTCAATATTTTCAAATATTACATACAATGTTTGGGGTTGTAGTACTTGTCCACGATGTTTGTCTGGACCATGCCTAACAATGAGTTTATATTTTTATCAATTATATTATGGGTAATAAATATTTTGAATTATTTTTTTAAAAATTTTAATTCTAAAACTTACGTTGGCTTATATTTGACCCACTTTGCCACAATAGCATCTATAGGGTTTGTCAATAAAATTGAATGTTCATCCAGGTGTTGATTATATGCATTCTCTTTACTTAACATCTCCTCCATGGTATTTGTCATTTCACTTAAATATTGTAAACAAAATTTATTCTTATCTTACCGGTTCGAAGAAATTACTTTAAAATTCCATGTAAAACATTCACAATAATTGAAAAAGCACTCATTCCAAATGACTTTAATTAATTTTAAAATAATGTATTAATATATGAAATGCAATAAATATTGTTATCGATATTAAAACAATAGAAATGTATGAGTGCATACAGAAGAGATATTATTGCTAGTTTTAATAATACTTTTAAATACAATGAAATAAAGAACAACCCACTCAGCGGCTATGATTGTCATTAATTGAGTATAAGAAACTGCGCCTTAATGTCTACGCTCTTAATAGCCTATCACCTAACCTGGTAGGTAGAATTGAGTACTTGTCTCTGAAAAAGGATTTCTAAAATCATTTCACGGAATCTCTGCACACCGCATGACTCAATGGAGATTTAGCATAGAGGAAAGATATTAACACATCTACCAAGAATACTTGGCGATAAAGTTTCGGTTAAACCAACAGAGGAAGACTCAGAAACAACTTCGGTAGAGGTATCATTATTGATTGCATTTAAATGTATTTAGAAACATTTTCAAAACAATTTTCTAATATTCAAAAAACATAAATAGAAGTTTAAGTTAGGCTACAATAACTTAAAATTAACCAGGTAAAGCTACAATCTATCGAGAACTAGGATCGGCTTAGGTCGGTATTAAGTTACGCTTGTGAAATCCACTCTAGTACTCGCTATGTGAAGTAAAGTGATAGTTAAAATCGAGATCCTGACATATCGGCGCTTAAGTGTGAATTGTAAAATTGTCTCTTTGCGGTTTAAAGAATAAGCCGCTCTACGTTCTAGCAACTAAGTGTAACCTACTAATCTCGTTGGACTGTTTGCAAGGACATTATAAAAACACACAATAATGTTAGATTAGGTTAGGTTATAACGGCGATCCCTAGGGGATCCGCCAATTGTGTTACCGTAAAAAGATAAAAACTCAGTGTTTAAAACCACCTAGAACCTTTGACGAAGCTCAGAATGCTGTTTAGTAGCACGTCTTATAATTGACTAAGATTCTTAAGAAAGTGGGCTCCTAAAGTGTTCGGTCGTCACCGTGCATGAGTTGGGCAAAGAGAGAGTAGATGAGGTGTAATTGAAAGAGAGTTTCAATCTTCTAGCATGGTTCCCTAGTTTGCAGTAACCTGTAAGTTAAACTACTCTCAGATTGATATATCTACGCGGTATCTCAATGAGAAAATGAGATTTCCTTTTAATATAAGGTGGCTAGATTGCATATACATAGATGCCCACATATCGTTTAGTCTACTCATCTTTTATTTTAGCACAAAAAGAATTCAGTAATATTTTTAAACTAAATATGTTGAGTATAATTAGAATTTTCTTAAAATTGTCAGTATTTTTAGTCATTCAATTATATATTAAATATTTACTGTTCTATGATATTTACAATTTTTGAAATATAGTGTACAGTCATCTCTAAGTCATTCTTATAATAAATAAATCAAATTATAAAAAAAAACCCCTGCAACCTTGATAGCATGAATATTTCCTAGTAAACAATTATTGAAGTTCAGTTTTGCAATTAATTTGCAAAGATAAGATGATACTGATAGTGATCAACACAACTTTGAACAAGGTTTTTCTCTATATTTTTATGGAAAATTAAAGCAATTTCTAGTGCTAATAAACTTGTCGTGGCTAACCTATTGAAGTTTCCAAAAAATTGCGTGCCCAAAGAAATGTGATTCATCAAAAAAGTACACAAATCATTTTCCAGCTGCATATGAATTTTTTCCTCCATTTGCCGATTGAATTCACTTTTATTGATTTCATTATTTTCTATCTGGTAATCAGGATTTTTCAATCTTTCCACACCACTCGTACGTTTTGTTAATGATGCACGATTCTTATTTTTTTTCGTTTTCTTTTTATCCTTTTTTTTATTTTTCTTTGCTTGCTTTTTCTGCAGCTTTGCTATACGCTTTTGTTCTTTTTCCTGATTACGTTTCTGAAGTGCCCGTTTCGTTTCCCGATATTGCATTTCTTGCAATGGACTATTCGGTGTTTCCAAAAATTTTGAACTCGACCGACCCATTTCCGCACACTCACGCAAAAACCAATAAAATATTACTTTTTATCCTTTAATTTTTTTTTTTTTCTTTTTAATATTCACTTTTTGATATCACAACTTTTTGCAAGAACTTTTCTAGTTAATGCTGCGACGTTGTTTCAAAACTGAAGATATTCATTGACTGATATCGATGTCGGTATCTTCGATCAAAATTGTTCATTAATTTACTGTATTTTATCTGAATTTGCTTTCATTACTATCTTCTCTACATTTACTTTTATATAAATGTTTGTATAATTGATAATTTCTTTAAAATGCTTTTATTTGTTTAATTGACTCTGTAATTTTATTGTCGCAACAACTTCAACTCTTTAAATAACTTTGCTATGCAGATACTAATATAAACATTTCTCAGTTAATTAAATATAATTAGTGATAATTAAATCAATTAATCACAATATTTTTTAAAATTAGATTTGCACTGAAATCTTTTTAAAATTTGACTAAATATATACTTCAGCCTTAATTCCTTTCGAATTTCCTTAAGACTTCGACAATACCCCTTTGAAACATAACTAATCTAAAAGTAATCAAATTTCTTTTAAGAAATCAATAGTATACTACTGCATGATTGGAAAACTCTTTATATTTTGAATCTTGAATAATATATTTCCGTTTCTTATATAAAAAAATTATGATAAAAATCTATCACAACCGTATTTTAGTAAAATATCTTTCGGGTCAGTTTTACAATGTACATTCAAGTTAAGTAAGCCTTTAGTGTTCGCTATTGTATTTAGTGTTAAGTAGGTTAGGTTAGACCGGCGATCCCAAAGGATCCACTTAGACCTATAGACCCATTGTGTTACCATATAAAATAAAAACCCAAGGGTTAGAACTACTTAGAACCTTTGGCAAAGCTTATAATGCTATTCAGATGCACTTAAGATCTAAAAAAATATAATTTTAGTGTTAATTCAACACTGAAGTGTGCTTTGAAATATGTGCCCTTAAACTTTTATTACTGAGTCTTAGTGGATGGTAAATACTATTGACAGTATCAGTGATATTTTTGCAATAAGAAATTTATTCATTGTGATACCATAGTTTCAGGCCAAAACTATGATACCATAGCTTTTGACCATTCTTAGGTTTTGAAAATAGTTTCCGTGGTGTCAATTTATCCATGCATCTACCGTTTATTTTGCTTCGAGTTTAAGATACCATTCATCCTATTTATATATTTTAGAGTTCTAAAAGTGTACATATCAAGGTTTTGATTATAGTACATTATTTTTAATATCTTTACAAAAAAATTTAATTATTTATTGATTATAAATTTTGTACTGTATTAATAATATTAAATTTTCCACTTGTTATATTATAAAAATATAGGTTAATTAGTAATAAATTTTTTTTATAAAATCAAATATTGTGAATTTCAAATTCAATCCGTACTCACTATCTGTAAGCTTTATCTAAGGGAACTCAATACCTTGCTGTGTGTGCATTTTATCAAGTTATGTAAAGAACAACTGACAGTAAAGGTTCAATGCCTTAAGATCTGTATTACTGTAATTTAGTGTTTGATATGCTCTTCATTAGTATTTAAACTTTGTACTACATTTTCTCTGTTGATAAGATATAGCACCAACAAAACAGATTAGCAACACATTAAACAAAGCAATGAGTAACATTTCACTTTACAAAATAGATTTAGACACAGGGGTTTGTATATAAAGAAATATAGCTCAGTTTGACTTTTGTGTTGTTCCCCTATTTTGCAGTACAACAGTTACATATACGTTAAAACATTTTAATTTTAAAATATTAAATAAATAGTTTAAATATTTTCATCAATGTAGATTTCATATTGATTACTACAATTCAAATAATTATTGAGAATACTTTTTAAAAGTAATATAAAAATATCAAGAGAACTTATAGGTTTTTAAAAGAATCTTTCATAAACCATAGTTTTTAATTAGATAACCTATTTCTATTATTTATTTAGGTGGAGTCAGTTCAATGGACTTTTGATAAATTTACATCAGAAGACCCTAATGGAGAACTACGACACTTAGCAGAATTTTTAGCTAACAAACAATTTGATTTAGTTATCAATCTACCTATGCGCGGTGGAGGTGCTAGGAGGTAACGTTTTGATGCTCTGCTTTTAACGATATTGCTTTAAATACTATTTTTATAACTATATATTTAAATCAGAGTTTCCTCCTTCATGACTCACGGCTATCGTACACGCCGACTTGCTGTAGACTATTCCATACCACTTGTTACAGATGTTAAATGTGCTAAATTACTGGTGGAATCTATGCGTATTACTGGTCGTAAGCCAGCTATGAAAACACACACTGATTGTATGACTTCTCGGCGTATGGTGACATTACCAGGCTTTATAGATGTTCACGTACATTTGCGTGAACCTGGTGGCACACATAAGGAAGATTTTGCCAGCGGTACAGCAGCAGCATTAGCAGGTGATATATTAAAATTTAATAAATTTTTTAAGAATTTATTTTATAACTTCCTTTAACAGGTGGTATAACTATGGTCTGTGCTATGCCGAACACTAATCCATCTATTGTTGATCGCACTACGTTTACACTCTTCCAAGAGCTGGCTAAAAAAGGCGCACGTTGTGATTATGCTTTATACGTCGGAGCTTCGGATACAAATTGGCAAAACATTAATGAACTTGCTGCACAAGCAGCAGGCTTAAAAATGTATCTCAACGACACATTCAGTACACTTAAAATGACAGATATGACGGTATGGGAGAAACATCTTCAAAACTGGCCAAAACGTGCACCCATTGTTTGCCATGCTGAAAAACAAACAATGAGCGCTGTGATTCTGCTTGCTCATTTACTGGATCGCGCCGTACATATCTGTCATGTTGCACGTAGGGAAGAAATTATGATCATACGTGCTGCAAAAGAAAGAGGAATACGTGTCACATGTGAGGTTTGCCCTCACCATTTGTTTTTATCTACTAATGACATTAATAAGATCGGTGCTGGTAGAGCGGAAGTAAGACCAATATTGTGCTCACCAGAGGATCAAGAGGCGTTATGGGATAATTTAGAATTCATTGATGTTTTCGCTACTGATCATGCACCACACACTTGGGAAGAAAAAAATTCTGAAAAGCCACCACCTGGTTTTCCCGGCGTAGAAACAATTTTGCCCTTGTTGCTCAAAGCTGTAGATGAAGAGCGTTTAACGCTTGATGATATCAAAAATAAATTTTATCGCAATCCGAAACGTATTTTTAGTTTACCTGAGCAACCGAATACTTACGTTGAGGTTGATTTAGATGAAGAATGGACAATTTCAAAAGACTACATGCATTCCAAAGCGAAATGGACGCCTTTCGAAGGCACAAAGGTAAAGGGCAGGGTTCATCGTGTGGTTTTACGAGGTGAAGTTGCATTTATCGATGGTGAAGTATTGGTAAATCCTGGTTTCGGGCAAAATGTACGTAACCAATACAATCGAAAATTGTTGCAACAACAATCTATGGAATCACTTGAAATTCAAACATCATTAGAAGGAATTGATAATCTAAAAGCCTATGAGCGTAACACAGAACTTGCGTCAGATTCTCAAACTAATGAGGCCTTTGCCAAGTTATTAGCTGAACCGCCTACAAAGGTTAATGTACACTTCGCTGGTGATCACAACTTCCTACGCCCTATTTCACCATCCCCGCGTATACGCTGTGATTCAGCTAGTAATACTGCTTTAAAAGAACTTATACAGAAAACTACGGTAATAAATGCGCCATTAAGTCCAGTAACTCATAGCTTAGTAGGAAAACATGTGCTCAGTGTTGATATGTTTAGTAAGGAGCAATTAAATGACATTTTTAATTTAGCACAAATGCTTAAGAGTCGCGTGGTTAAAGATCGTCCAGTCGATGATATCTTAAAGGGTAAAATAATGGCTTCAATTTTTTATGAAGTAAGCACACGCACAAGTTGTAGCTTTGCAGCTGCTATGCAAAGGCTTGGTGGACAAGTAATTTACATGGATCAAACTAGCTCCTCAGTAAAAAAAGGTGAAACTTTGGAAGACAGCATTGCTGTAACCGCAGGTTATTCAGATGTGCTGGTGTTAAGACATCCCGAAATAGGTGCAGTTAAGGTAGGTATTTCGATTTTTGGTTTTAAACATCTTTTCTTACAACAACATTTACTATTTTAAGCGCGCCGCTCAACATTCCCGTAAACCACTGATAAATGCTGGTGATGGTGTTGGCGAACACCCAACTCAAGCATTGTTAGATATTTTCACTATCCGTGAGGAAATTGGTACTGTTAATGGACTCACAATAACCATGGTTGGTGATTTAAAACACGGACGTACAGTACATTCTTTAGCACGTTTAGTGACACTTTACAACGTTTCACTACAATATGTCAGCCCTCCAAATTTAGGTATGCCGGATGAGATTGTAAGTTATTTAAATGCAAGAGGTATTAACCAAAAGGTAATGAAAAGCATAGAAGAAGCATTGCCTACAACAGATGTTCTATACATGACACGCATACAAAAAGAACGATTTACCAGCGATGAGGAATATGAACGGGTAATTTTAATAAATATTATATTAAATTTACGTTTAACAAAATGTTTTATTTTATAAATCCAGTGTTGCGGTCATTTCATTGTCACTCCAAAACTCATGACAAGAGCCAATCGCCGCACAATTGTTATGCATCCTCTGCCCAGGGTATTCGAGATAAGTAAAGAGTTTGATTCTGATCCTAGGGCAGCATACTTCCGTCAGGCAGAATATGGCATGTACGTTCGCATGGCTCTACTGGCTATGGTTGTGGGCTGCAGAACTTAATGAACTGAGACAATTTATATGATGCAAGAAAGACAAATTTTTTTGATATATTTAAACAGAATTTAAAACATTATTAATATTTTATTGTGTGAATTTTTTTAATATATATATTTCTTATATTGTTTATAAAATAAATTACAGCAGTGACTGCTATCTTTATAACTAATAATTATTTTCTTATATATTTTTACTATGCAAACATTAAATTAAGTTAATGAAAAGAAACAAGCCACATAGATTTCTTCTCTTTTCTAATCAGTCTCAATATTTTACATAAATTCTTTATAATTGCATTTGCAATAGCATAACCCGAGATAATATAAAAAATGAATGAAAATTAATAATATGTATAAGATACAAATTAATATCTAGTATCGATAACAGTTTCTTTGTTACCACTAATCTGTATTACTTCGTCAGCCCATTGGGACGTCTTTTTATTTTTACCCAAACTATCGCAGAGACACAACTCACTGCCAACGAAGGCTGAATTCATGTTTCCCTGCAGATTGCCATTGGATATAATGGAAACTGAAGGTGGACGTGAATAATCTTGACCACTCGAGTCTCTGGTACAGATAGTATTAATTGAAGAACGTTGGCTCTCAGGGTCTGGTAAATTAGATGGTGATAAATTGGTTATTGGAGCAGTAATCGTTTTGGGGCCACAATCTTCACAACATTCCTCTCTATTAAACAAATAAATCAATGCATTTATAACCAATAAACAATAAAAGTAAATTAAAATTCTTACTCTTTTTCTTTTTTCTTGCACGTCACAAATGATGCAAGTATAGCCAATATAACTATGGCTACTGCCAAGCCGGAAAGTCCAGCAATCATTGTCATCATTTCATGTGGTTCACCATCTGAAGTCACTTTAGTAACTATGCAAATACAAAATATAAATAAAATAAAATTAATAAAACAAAACAGTAAATTAGTTAATATAATTTTAGCCAATAGCAAATATCATAAATTTATTTCATATAAGAAATGTTTTAAAAACGAACTCTAAAAAATTTTTTAATTTGTCGAAAGCTTTGAAATGAAAAAGCACTAAACTTTAGCAGAGCTTTTTAACAGAACTTTCGATCATGAAAATTAACAGAATTCTGTTATACTACTGCAAAAGATTTATGAACAAAGAATTTGTGTTACACACTGTGTAACTAATGTTATAAATAAAAATATACCTATTATTATTTGTATTTATAATACAATATATATAATTTTATAATAATTATATATCTATAACACAAATTTTAATACATTATTGCGCACTCTCAAAAATGTTATGATAAGTGTTCTACCACATCTCGTCATATTTCCGAAAAAAAAAAATTTACTGAGCTCACCTTTTGGTGATAATATGTATATATATATAGTATATATATAGAACTACTTATACTTAATGCTGCTCAGTTTAATACTAGCAACGCTAAATACTTCAAGATCAGTCAACAGAACTCTTGTCAATAACATGTATTTATAGAAGTTTTTTAATATGCATGGCAACTCTGTTAAAGCTTTTATTTAAATATGCATAAGTTCAATTAAATTGTCTAAAATAGGTGAAGCTTCTTATATGTCTGAGCACCTGGTATTCTTTTAGGAATAAAACAACTAGCGTGTGGTCAAAATTGAACATCGGAAACTTAATTTTGAGTCAAAACTTGTCATAGGCAATCATACTACTAAATTCAAATCAATAATTTTTATAGAAAAAAAAAACAGAATTAATAAACATATTTTATAAACTATACCTACTTAATAAATAATTTATTTTGAATTAATTAAGATAATTTTACAAATATATTTTTTTTAAATTATATAAAAAGACAATTTTTTTATTTTTAGTTTAAATAATAATATACAACAATTAAAAAAAAAAAATTGATTTATAGGTATAATATTCATCCATTACTTAGTGTTAGTCAAAATAAAATAATCAGTTTTTTGAACTACACTCTGAACTTAAACATATTAACCAATAAAACAAGATAAAAATGTTTGGTTGTCAAAAAGCAAAATTCCTATATATGAAGCAATGGTCTTGCACATCTTGTAATTAATATTTCGCTTTTTAATTACGTACATATATGTTGTTAAAAATTATCTTTTGAAAATATACAAATGTGTAACGCTTTATAGAAGATTATTGCAAACAAAAGTCAATTAAAATTCCGGAGACATATTGAAATACAATATATCATTAAACAGAGATGCACCGACTAACTAGTACAGTAAACAGTATTAATATTTATTTGGTTTTTTTTTTTAATTTAAATTATCTTTCTTTATTTATCTTATTACTATAAGATCTAATTATAATATGAAATTATTATTTTACTAATGAAAAAATTAATCATAATAATAATTTTACTTTGAACATTGACTATTACAAGTTCTGGTAATTCTACTATAATATTTTAGTTTATATGTAAAACATCATAAACTAGACAAAGAAACAAATATTGAGCTAACTATTCTAATATGAAAAATGAAGAAATTTTATGAAATAATGCCATTCTCTAGAAGCAGTCTAGTTAAATTCGATGCCAAGACAACCAAGAGATTCTCAAATTTTTTTTTTTTAGTTTCAACATTCGCAAGACCATTAAATCGACTGCAGTTACAACAACTACAAAATAAAAGAGTTCAAAAGTACATAAACATATATGTATACATACAATATATAAAGTTCTTGATATATGACACTGATAACTGATATGACAGCAGATCGCGAGCATAACTGACGACTGAGGTATCATAGCTTTTTGATAACGAAAAGCTAGTATAGCAAAAAGTATATTTTAATATAATATGTATGGTATACAAAATATAGTCGTCTTGTGAATCATTTGTCAAATTTTTGTGAATGACAAACCCTTTTAATATTTCCCAACCCCATCCAACTTCCACTACATCACTGAATAAAAGGCAATTGATCTTATTTTTATACTTGTCATCAAGCTAGCATATATAGGTACCTCATATACATGTAGATAAAAGACTATTAATAGTGTTTCGAAAATTATTTTAGTTAAAAGAGCACAAATGTGAAAGTAATAATTAAGAACACTTCTTCAATAAAAAGACATACCATACATTTTATATTGCAAACGTTTTGGAATGTGCTAATATATTTTCATATGAGAATTAAATGAGTAGTATAAAGGAATTTTAAAACTTTAGTCCTGATGTTAACAATAAATCTGTGCCTAGCAAGTATATATACTGACATTTTGGTATAAGGGTGTGTCTACGATAAATGACACATAGATTGTTTGTATTTTTGTAGATATCTCATTCTCTAGAGGTTTAGTACTCTATACTGCATAGTAAACATAGTAAAGTTCAACTCTAGGTACTTGCAGTTAATGTTACTACAATACATGCATTCCCAATGCTAAACTTAACTGCATCAGTAAAATCTATTTATTTTTCTGAGTATGTCATAAAGCTTCCAATATCGATTTTGAAAAGTTCTGCTAATAGAGTGGTCTTCAAAAAAAAGTTTTTTAAAAATTGTAATCGTAATTTTTTGCTAAACCATTACAAGTACTATATCTGCAAAACAAAACATTGATCATTTGTTTTACACCTCTTGATATTGACCTCAAAGATTATTCGTCAAAACGTTAAGTTTTTGCATATATATATATAATTGATTTGGTATAAAGGTGAATCTAAGACAAATTTTACGTAGATTATCTATGGATCTATTGATATTCTATAGATGTTGAGAATTTTGCAATATCCTATTTAGTTCTTCTGTTAGAAAAAGTTTTTAAAGAAGGGTTTTAATAAAAGCGCGACTGCTTGAAAAAACTGTACTTCTGTAGAATAAGTAAGAACTTGTTAATTCTTTCTCCTTCTTCTTGTCAAAGTAGGTTAAGATTGTTGGGGTTACAAATTCCAAATAGCTATTATACAGTTCTACATATATCATATTAATGGAATAATTATTATAGTAGTAACATTTTTGAAGTGACATGTTTTTTGATATAGTATTATTGCCCCAATTAAGACAAACATTTAAAAAATTTAATACAAAATGAAATAAGAACCTTTTTTTTGTGACCGAATACATTTTAATTTCAATAAAATATATTATATATAATGTTCAAGTTTAAAATAAAGTTTTATTTTAATTTTTTATAATTGTCATTAAAAATAACTGAGTATGAAATCAACTTTGAAGTCAACTTAAACGAGATACATATTATATAAAAGTCTGTATAAAAATATATTTACGCCTTAATAAATTTTACGGCATGACTGTTAAAAATTTTTTATATTGTAAGATATACATAACTGCTACTACTAAGTTTTAATCAGTTTAATTAAAATATATTTAGGTAAACAACTTTCAATTTTCTCTTCAATTATTTCGTTAGATCAACTTTAAATTCTAATACGCAATGCTAATAAATAACTGCCAATTAAAACAGAACGAAAGACAACAGAACGCATTATTTTGTTCTAGACGCATAAGTTTGCAGTGACAACGATTTTAAAGTTTTCATGGGAAAGTTGTATCTATATTATAGTATATAGTATATAAAATTTTGCAACGGAACATGTTGTATTTCATGTCGGAAATTGTATCTATTTTTCACGGGCAAGCCTTTATTTTACAGATGATTGCCAATTTGCACAAATAGCTTCTAGCTTCGCCAGACAGTGGCTAACAGAAGCTATTTGTGTTCGAGTACTCACTTTCGAAAGGTAATTAAACCTTGCCAATCGAGCATGGCCATATTGGATGAAATCGAATTACTGCTAGCAAAAAAATTGTCGCCAACACAATTTATTGACTTCGAGAAATGTCAAAATATGTCAAAATAATATTATAAAATTTGTGTAAATAAAATTAAAAAGTATTAGAGTATTTTTATAAGAGTATTAAAAACGATTGGTTTTAAAGAAAAATAAAAATAAACATTTTTAAAAAAAAGTAATGAAACTGCGTGCATGATTTGTTAAAATTTAATTGTTATTATTTATCATATTTATTTATTTTTATTTATTTGTATACTTTTTATTTTATTTGTTTTTTTTTTAAACATCTGTATGTATGAGAATGATGTCTCTATGATAAGTAATTTCAGTTATCAAGTTGAAGTTCACGATCATTGATAGAAAAAATAAAAATCTGCTAAGCGATTTAGATTTCATTGTAATTACGAATGCCGCTCGGTTGTGTTATATATATGTTCAGCAACAATATAAATTTTAACAATTTAATTGATAAATAAAACCCCAAATTAACAGACATATTAACAGACACATTAGCAGACATATTAACAGATACATTAACAGTGTATTAGAATTAAGAATTAAAAAAATCATAAAATTGTAAATCATGTTAATTGGCGTAATTTTTCAAAGCACTGGCATAAGTTTTATTTGGTTGTTGACATTTAAATAATAAATTTGATTTATTGCAGCGGAAAAAGCTATTAAGTTTAGTGTTTAAATCATGAGCTAACAGTTAATTGTACTCTACAATATGTAATAAATTTTGATTTATTAGTTTTTTGGAAATTAAAATAAACGAATTCTTAAAATTAAATTTAAAAATTGAATATGGAACTTAAGATACCTAATGTAGTGTAATATGATGAACTGTTCAATTATTAAATACTATATATTATAATATATATATAAAAATATAACAAATGATTATAAATTAATACATTAAAATGAAATTTTATATTTTCTACAGCACATGGGGTACAAACGGGTTACGATGGCGTATGTAATTACAGTTTGACCAATCACACACAATTCCTACTCCAATTATTTTGTTAATCGACTTTGTCAACCTGAGTAACCTAGAGAGAAATATAATCATCAAACAGAGGGATTGTGTAATTAA